GAGCTTGATGGAATAGATGGAAGCCTAACTACCCAGCAACGCTACCAATTATTAGGGCCCCATTTGTCGACATCACATATATGCAGCCTGAGTAGAAATGACACCAGGTAGCCACTCTAAAGTGCTGCTATTAAGACAACTTCTCTGACAAAGTTTTGGAACTTTTTATGTAATCTGGTTGCTGCAAGCCCCCTACAGAATGTGGCTATACTTACATGAATGAGACAGTGTGGAGTTTCGGAGGAGGGCTGGTACGAGGAGATCCAGATTGTGTTAGATGGAACAATGATCAACAACAGCTCTACTATAACTGCAATTCTTGTAAAGCTGGTGTTCTGGCAAGTTTGAAAAAGAGATGGAGGAAAGTATCTGTCATCAACATTGTCATATTGATCATTCTAGTCATCATGTATATTGTTGCCATAGCAGCCTTTAAACACAACAAGTAGATCGATAACGATGAGCCTTTTGGAGAAACCAGGATGGAGAAATCTCAACCTAGCAGGATACACTTCTAAGAGCTTCCCCATGACAATACAGTAAACCTTGAAATGTGTTCCCTATGTTTGGCATTTCTATCTTATTAGAGCAACATGCTTTCTTCATACTTTCATATGCTCCCTTTCTCCCCCAAAGGGAATTGGCTGTAAATCTCGTATGAGTTGTTCTATTCTTTTTTTTTATATATATAATTAATTCCTTTTATGCCTGGGTTTCTCTTTGAATTGGTTTTGGAGGCAGGTTAGTTCAATCCGGATGTAGCAACTTGCTATAAGAGAAAAACATTCATGTAAGCTTGACTTTTACTTAAAAGAGCATCGATGGTGAAATAAGAAGGCATAGTTTACCATTTTGCTGGGCATAAAAGTCGGCCAAAATGCCTGCAACAAAGTTGTAGGAATAAATACAGTATGCAAAGTATTAATAGTAATACATAGTATTAATCGTAATGCTTCTAAATCACATTACAATTGCTAAACTAGTACAACATGTGAAGTAGGAGTTAATCTTGAACCAGACGATCTACTTTTTACTTGGGTCAAACATAGGTTTTGTTTTGCGGCCTTGCTCCGAACTCCATCTTGTGATTGTTCTCTCTTCAACAACATAGTTATCTAAGCACGACGGATTAGTTGCACAACTTTGTTGTTGCTCAATGTCAAGAATTAGTAACGTTTTCGCCACACTACCACAAAGTCGAAGAGTGCAATGGAAGTCAGACCAAACCCTCAAGCGACCATTTGCACTACCACTTTGTGAAGATAAAGCAAGCACAGCATATTCAGAATGTACTAGAGCAGGATGATGACGATAAGCAACAAAGTCTACCCCGTACTGGGAGCCCGATCTAACCACCCAGTTCTTACTTCTAAGGTGAGAAAAAGCTTTGAATAAGATAGGAAAATTTTCCCTCCTGGATGTCATATGCCTCCATACCTCATCACTGTTCAGTTCAGTGTCATTGTGGTCAACAACCTTAATGCATTTTAGAGAATACTGAAGGTAAAAAGCTTCTTCCATGCAGAGCTGAAACCATTGCTCATTCTTTTCTGTCGTTACCCTGGGCCTACCAAAACATGCACGATTGAGGAGCTCAGTTTGTTCTGTGTCTGCTTTAAGAAGCACATTCGTATCAGAAAGCAGTCCTCGAGAGTTTGAGCAGATCAGAGAAGATTGAAGCTGGATTACTATTTCTGAAATGGGATCTGCAAGAGCTTTAACTTCGGCCCCTTTTCCTTTCCACCTCGGCCCCATTATTCACGCTGACAACAAAAAAAAAGTCTAAATTCACGATATTCCTATTTATACTTGTTTACACAACTTACATTGGACCAAAGAATGCAATCAATCAGTTACATAGCCATACAACACATGCTCATAGAAAAATAGACACCAATTAGAGAATTTTCAAAGTGTAAAGTAAATTGCATTTTGCGACTACGCTTATAAAGTCCTTTCCTACAACATTATAGAATTCATGAAATGCTGTGTCTTATTATGTCGAACCTACTTAAACTTAAATCTATAAAATGGTTGTTCCAATGTCATGCTGTGAAAGCACTTTGTCATACAACAATTGGCAGTAGCAAAGTGGTAAAACAACCGTAATAATCCAATTAAAGAATCCATCAAGCACAACATGGCCTAGAGAAAGAAAGCAAACACAATGCACACTCAATTCAGAAAAATGATAGCAGCTAAAGAAGAACCCATCCCTCCATAAGCCCAAATGGAGCTTTTCAAGGAGTATATTAAAAAATATGGGAAAAGGGAGCCACCCGAGAGTGAGAGCATTGCAGAGAAACTGCTGAGATTTTTATGGCTACCAATCATTTTGACCCAATTTTAAGGGGTTTCAAGGTCTGTTCATTTATGTTAAATATGAAAACAATCCATAAAAGAGAGAATACATTATGGGGATCTAATACACTGAGGAGATCTAAGTGTAGGAGGATAATACGCTTACTTGGAGCACTAAACCACCCAAAATAAGGTTTAGACAGATACCTACCATTCATGTCGCATGTAGCTGACCAGCACAGGTATAGTCATGTTAAGAAGTTATGGTAAAATAAAATGTTGAGAAAGTCTCCAACCATTCTATGGATTATGACTTTTTTCTTTTTACGAGAATTTGTCGCCCTTTTTTTACCGGATGATTTCATAGTTTCAAGTTTCCAGTTAAGCCATTCAAATTCTCAAGTAAGAAAAAAGAAGATTCTGGTTATTTTCTAACTGATACTTGTACGCCCATTTGAAATATCGCAGCAAAGTAATATTCACCTAGAAGATTATCATGCAGAATCCGAATTTGGAACCATTATCAAAACATGTTTATCCACGGATCCAAAGTCAAATAAAGCAAATATCTTCTTCTTCATTCCCTCATTCCCTATCATATGCACTAACTTAAATTTTAACTTGCAGAATTCTTCAACTCCAAAATACTGAGCAATATTTCAGCTATATAATAGCCACACAATCATGTACTATGTAGATCCTTTGGCATCCGGATTTGAATTTCTCGTTTATAATAGTAAAAGGCTTGACATTTTGACACATAGGAAAGGTAGAGAAATTTTGCGCAAGAAGAACGCAAAGATTACGCAAAAAAAAACTAGAGATAAAAGAGTGAAACTGAACATAGTAAAAGTATCACTCTACTGAGCAAAAAATCAAACACCTCGCAGGCGGCAAGACATGCAACAACAGACACATTCAACAGCTCAATATGCACAAAGTACATACATCAATCACAAAGTTATTGTCATTAAAAAATAAAATACCTTTATACGGAAGCATCAAACAAAAGGGGCTTCGGACACATAATCACAGTCAGCTTTCGAACTCTTTATGCCTTCCTCAAACTTCTCAGAACCAGACACGAAACTCAGAATAAAAAGAAAGCAAAAGCAAATTTAATTAATTTAAACCTAAATCAGACTCAATGTGTGGAACAAAGTTGTCTCCCATTGTTTTGATAAAAAGTGGAGAAGAAGATCGTGAGAGATGGGAAAATATGTATATTGAGTTTCTATGGTTTGTTTAGGTAGATTGATTATTTTATATTATACTAATTTTACTTATACATTCAATATGCTTGCTTGTCTTTGGAGAAGAAGGATTTGGGATTGGGTTGATCCAGATGGGTCGGTTATTTTATAGGTCTGGTCAAATATTTATATACCACCTATATTTCATTAAATAATATTAGTGTATACGGCAAAATCAGAGGATCCAATTCCTCGTCATCGAGGCACCTCTGAACATCGTCTCGATGCTACAAGACCATGGTCGAGTTTCCTCCCTCGAGGTTCGTCGACACCTGGCCTTAGGACAATGTTGATCACGGATATGATA